GTAAAGTGCAAACGATCATTGGCGCGGTCCAGTTGCCCAGCACCAAAGTGTTGCAGCCGCTCACGCCGACTGCGCTACGTAAGGGGCACTCGCTGTAGCTGAACCTAACTCGAAAAGTCGACAGCACAGGAGACCAGGGTTGTGAAATGGAAGTTTAGGTGCCTGTCTGATTTGAAAGAATTGAATTAAAAGACTCAAGCTTCCAACCTCCTCGCTTTGCCACTGAGCATCTTTTAGTTAATTGCTATCTAAATATACCAATAATGGCTCTCTCTTAAAATGTTCTCGATGTCATAAACAGCTGATTGCATGTAGAAACCAGAATGACCTTAGTTAGCATCACTGTGTATTGAAGACAAGGCAATTCATCGGCTAGTTTAGATTGTTCGTGAGACTTCTCCACGGGTTGATGCCAGGTTTTACAGGAAGTGCCAAGCAATGAGATGTTTCTTGTTACCTGTGACAAGAGAGATTGTACCGAACATACTGCATATTGGTCCCGGGTTAATCGAATGGTCCATCCTGGCCAAAAGTGTGTGGGGATATACCTCCACACCTACCCACCCCTGCCCACAGTGAAATTAATCCGATATCCTTTTAACCGTAGAGGACGATGGTAGGCACATAGGATTTAAACATGTGGGTCAGCTAGTTTCTGACTCCACCTTTAAATTTGGATATAATTATATTAACAATTTAGTTTCATCAGTTTTTGCCGGTTCCTTTGCGAGCAAACATAAATATTTGTACTTTTGCAAGCACATTTAGCACTAAATATTTAGTTAATGCCACAAAAGTATATACCCAGAGACCAACAGACTAAATAAAGAAAATATAAAACGTGGCTTCCAAAACCGTCATATGTTCCACAAACTACTAGGGCTTCGGTGTTCGCTCCATTAATTACAAGTTCAGGTTCATGAATTTTAATAGTGACTACACTACAGATGACTCAATGTCTGCTCTGCATTCTCTGTAGTGAGCCTGGCAAAAGGTTTCGCAAAGAGACGCTTTGTGCTGGTTGGAACAAACCTACTCGCGTCCACGACAGTCGTCCTGTTCACTGCACGTTGGAAAATCAGCAGAGAATTGGAGACAGGTTGTTGTGATGCAAATAACATAGGCCAAAATTAGGAAGTTTATGACATCATAAAATCCCTGAATTTACTCCTATTCTTGAATTGCCTGAGAACAGCCAAGAAACAATGATTTTCAACATTCTTTAAAGACATACCTCTGAACCCTTAAACTAAACCCCTCCTTGTTTGAGCTCTGCCCTGTTTCTTTAAAGCTCGCTCCGCCCCTGAAAATCACGCACATGAAGCCACGAGCTACGTGATTCTGTCGGGCAAAGCTGCGGTACAAGGTAGTCAGTGTGGCTCCTCTTAAAATATATCAAAGAAATGAGGTTGCTTAAAGGCTTATGAGAATCCAAATTGGCAGGATTTTCCTGTTTGCGAGATCTATACAAACCAAATACATATCAAACACAAGAAAAAGATGCCATCTTGTCAGTCCGACAAACTGTATTGTGTCAGAAATAAAGACTGTTGAAGTCTTCAAGCACAAGGTACATATGAAGTACACGATTATCTCACAAATGACTCTTAGTTCCATTTTTGTTCTGCCATTTTAAAGGATATATATTCTGATGCCTTTTATAAAATAATACTACGAATTTCATTAATCCTGAGCAAAAGTTTCATGCAAATCTAGGTAGAGATCTCCGTATTACTGGTATTCAGCGCAATGTGCTGTCACATATTTGATGGTTTTCTTTCGCGTTTTCTTTTCCTTAGCGATTCATCGCTCTATAAGTAAAGTACCCCGGTAAATACCAACGAGCCACCATTTCTCAAAAAAAAAAACGTTTTCTTTGAGCCAATTGTGGGTGCACACTTTGAACAGAAAAGTCTCCAAACCGAACAAGACTTTTTATGGATGACGCATCTTTAAAATATAAATTGATGCCAAATAGTGTTTAAAGACATTGAGGAGGAAGGGGCACAAAAGCGATAATTTAAGAATACGTGTCATTATGTAGATATGGTTTAATGAACCAAAACGAAGCAACGGGGCCAAACGATGTGACGAGATTGGGGTTTGGAGGATGCTACAATTAGAGATGTCAGGCTGTATTGAAGTTAAGAAGATCTTCAAATGAGCTTGATCCTGAGAGCCTAGTCTGGAAGCACGCATCGTTGGAACGAGTGGAATCTGAACTGAAATAATTATGATGTGAATATGTAATTGGATGGAACGTTTGCTGGCCTCCGATTTTATGTAAAATATGCTGATTTAACACCACAGTGGGTTCTGTTTAGTTTTTAATGTAGGCGGAACATATGCTCAAAGTTTAAGTTTAAAATAGATGCTGGCGACATACGAAAAAATAATTGTTAAACCTTGCCATAATTTTTTTTCAAAGAGAACTAATAGGCCTACAAAGAAAACCAATAAAATAACTAATGCAATATACGTACAGCTCTTGGACTCGACGTTTTTTCTTTTGTTGCTTTTTTATTTCATTTTAATTTGATTTTTGGGTTTTCTCTTCTGTGTTTTTCATTTTCTAACAACTATCTTGAATTTTCTGTTCAGAAAACTTCTTTTCAAAAATATGGGGAGGGTATGGATGATTCTGTGGATCTGTGGATAATACCCGCCCCATCGGGGATGAAGCAAAACCCCTCAACATGCTTCGGAGTCTCTCCAGAACTTTTGAAGGATACATTTTCGTTGTCAAGGGCTCTGGGTACCAGCTGTCAATCACTGACCTGAGACTGCAGGTCGTATCACACCCTCAAAGCGCAGCAGCGTTGTGAAATATTTGATACGGAAGCTTCATCTCCGTAGGAATTGATAATGAAAAAGAGCTTACTTGGCGCGACATCAGCATCACTGGTTGGGTTAACCCTAAAATTTCCAGTGGCGGAGTCCTTCCTCAACATTTTTGACAGCTATCGCCGCAGTACATGTTTTCATGAGTTTATGGAGTAACTCTTGGCGGTAATTTCGACATCAGTTTTGTAAAAAATGAACATAAGTGTTGTCGCACAGCGCCCACTTTCCCAGACGTGTCAGCCAAAAATGTATGCTTCTTCATCGCCGTGCCCAATGCAGGCGAGCTGGCATGCTGTGTATAGCCTTGAACTTAAAAATAACCGTGACAACAAGTGTCTTTACATGCATAGCAAGTTATAAAAAATTGGGCAACGCACAGCCGAGTTCCGGGGGGAGGCAGAACCCAACCCCGGCTGTCAGATGGGCCAAAATAAACAGGCTCTTTGAGGGTTAAGTTATATGTAGGCTGCGAGGATATTAGATGCTGTCGCATCTCTGACCCCGGACGTGTTTGTGATACCTGAACCGAACGGAAACATCCCAGATATCTTCTTGGCCTATTAAGATTGGGTTTGCCAAGTTTAAGTCATTCAGCCTGAAGGCTTATCCGGAAAGAAGCCATGATATAATAAATGATCTACCCAGAATTCGCCATGGTACGATATCTATCTACCCTCAACATCATTGACTCTTTAAACAGCGCCCTCCCTAAATTTAAGATAGTCGAAAAGTCTTTGCAGTCAACTCTATCTTAGCTTCGGCATTTAAAAAAAGTTTCCAGTGAAGCATAGCATTAATGAATACAAAATGCGTTCAAGTTGCAAAACGACAATGTTGATCTCTTTCGCTTAACTCGGCTGTCAGTTTCCCGGTAGTATCTTACAGATGGTCACATTGCTCAAAATGGTGAGCGATTCCATTCACTTATCTCCATGTCACAATCCGGATCGCTCAAGGGCCATTCTGAGCTTCACAAACTGCCAAATACTGGTGAACCAGTCTCAACCTCTTAACAAATTTGTCTGCTGGGTGGTAATGTGGAGGACATGGACTTCACTGGTAACATTAATGGCATCTGCCTCCTCAGCAGGCTTGAGCGGGCAGATTTGGGGATTCTGTTTTTGGATACAGAGACCTATCGAATGGAGCTCTTTTTATGCAGCAGGAAAGTCAAATGTTATACGACGAGGGTAATAAAGTCAGGGTTGAATCCAATACCGATAGGACCCAGGCAAGATTTGAGAAATAGCTTGTTGTTTCCACTTTTGCCTTCAAATGAAACTTGCATTGTATAACTGATCAACGGATGCCAAGTGAGGGCGCCGCACATACCTGCATGAATTACATCCAATCATGTTTAATCGCAAAGATAAATTTTAAAGTGGTAAGTTGAGTTGGATAAGATTTAGCCTGTTAGTTCCTTTGGTCAACAAGATAAAGGAAGCTAATCAGTCGGATGTTTGGCTGGCAAAGATTTCACTGCAGCCTGGCATTTACTTCAGACGCCGTGGATAACACATCTGCATGTCTTTCATCTTGTCAGTTTAAAGCCGTGTTGATAGGATTGTTCCTGTTTTACCCTACCGAGATGGATTTATACTTTTATACGTGAATAGCTGGTCTGCGAAACGATGTTTTTTTGCCGAGAATGACGGACCAACATCTTACAAAAATTGTTGTCGAAATCATATGAAATCATGCTTTTGCTCAGCACGAAAAGCAAAGGCAAGCATTGGCAGAAACTCTGTCCTTTAATCCTCATCGGTGATCTTTCCTCATCTCTATCTGCATAATCTTGTTATCTGCATAATCTTGTTATCTGCATAATCTTCTTTTCTGCATAATCTGTAGAGTGTTTCCTTTTTGAAAAAAGGCTAAAATTTAACGTACTTCTTCAGTTTCAATGAAGCTTCTTGGCTCAGGCTTCTTATCACATCATTTTTTATCCAGCTTCCTTATAATTATTTCCTGAAGACTATAGTCTTCAGGAAATAATAAGGAAGTGATTTCAAAAGATTCGTGTGGCAGATTTACTCTGGCTCCGTTTAAATCTGCTCCATTAGCTTGAAAAGAGGGCGACGTGTATAAAAAACGGTTAACCGCGGCAGTAGCTGTTGTTCAGCCAGAGGGCGCCGTTTCATCAAACCGTGTTGACACTTCTGGTGGGGGAGGGACACTTGTTCCTGAAGTAGACTTCAACCTGCTCTGCTGACGCTGTGAAAGGGGTGAGTATTATGCTCTTAATCCTTCATATTTGTTTATGGTAATGTCTAATACTAAACCCATTTGGTGATATGCCGTGGAGAAATGTTCAACACTCATTGGATTTCCTGGTTTCTGCTTGGGAAAAAGTGAAAGATTCTGACCGCGGAGACCAACATATGGAATGTATAGTCCGTAATTGGAGCATAGAGAAAGAACACGTGACGACATCCCCGGACCTGTGGTTTCAAGGGCCCAGGAACTGCTGCGAGTCTTGTCTTGTGTATTGCTAATAATAATATAATACCTTGTGCTGATTGACCAAGAACTGGCCCATTGCCAGCCGGAGATACTGAAGGGTAATATTATATCTTACAGCATTAGTGAACTGCCCCCTGCCCCGTAAATCGATATATCACATGAATGAATCATGAATGTTGATATGTCATACGGAAAGGAAACTCCTGTATCTGGACGATAAGCTGTATTCTGAAGTGCATTCGCGTCTGATTTATCGTTCAAGTCCCTGAACTCTGACACCTTGCCTTCCTCAGCGCTCTCGGTAAATTCGTGCAACTTCTAGACTGCAGGGCATGTACATGTACATGTACATGTACATTGTACATGTACGTGTGCGTGTAGGTCGAGTGTGTCTTGTGTTTGGTTTTCTAATCTACATTGCTTGCTCTTGTACGTATTTGTTTTCTTGGGGTCATTAAATCATACAACACAATATGCGTGGATACACAGTAATGTTTAGTTTTAAACTCGCTGTAACAACTCAAAGATTTCATGCAGCTAAAAGACCGCTGACGTGCGCACACGTGCAATTAAACTATGGCCTACACAGTTTCATCATGGAGGATGGTTTCACCCAACAAAAATGTATTTGCTCTTTGCATGCTGTCGCCGTAAGCACGGAGAGCCTCGAACTGACAGCTTTACGCAACAAATATTTATAGCCGCTTCAGTGACTCCCATGTGTGTCAGTTGCCGAGGGAACCAGTGAACCGGCTTTATTTAATTATGTGAAGCCGAGAGTTTGAGGTTCCCGATACTTATGGCAGCAGCGTTGAAGAGCGAATCGCAGTAGGCATACACAAAAGCAACGTTGACTGCAATTCTGCTCCAAGACGAAAATGTTGCTGCACATCTTGAAGTAAATCCGTTTCCCACAGAGAATTAACTATGCGTGAAAAAAGTCCTTGAACTAGACAGTGCGACCTAAAGTTGACATCAGCAGTAAGTGCTGCATGTGTAAACAATTCGGTTGAATGATGGTAATGCAAATAGTTATTCCATCTGGTAATATTGCAATTTTGCCCGCATAGAGAAATGGAAAAATAATAAAGTGAACATGTCATTTTTTATGTCTATGTGTCCCAGTGCGGTCTAGGTAATTGCAAAATCAGCGAACCAGGTCCAAAGAGGGATACAATTTCTGATCAGAAAAGAACGAAATCATGTGGTCCGGAGGAACTGCAAATGTGAGGGCTTTTGAGGGACCATTTTTAATCGCAAGTATTTCTCATGTATAATTATGAAATTTTTTGAACAATTTAATTCCAAGACCAATTTCCGTATCAAGGAGAAATCAGTTTCGCGTCCGTCCAGTGTAGAATGTTTCATTGTCAATCATTTTTATGTCATTTTGTCACTCGTCGACCCTGATAATTGTCTATGTTTTGTCTTAGTGACTTCATCCCTTCGTCCTTCTTTTTAATGGATATAAATGATTACCTTTCAAAATTGAATATAAATGGGAATTTCATTCTTTGTATTTGTTCAGATAGGCCTATTGAATTTTTTTGCCAAAGTCATGCTTGTAATTGGAAGCCTTTTTAAAAATTATCTCCCCTCCAAATTGGTGCGGGTAGGAAAATAAATGAAAAAGAAACAAAAAGAAGCCTTTCCCAATAAAATGTATGGAAGAAAGGTTAAATTTGTTCTCGACATCCTTTCTCTGTGGATTACTGAGTGAAAATTATTCCCTTCTTTGTTCCAGGAAAGTCGTCGAGAAAATGCTGATTATAATTCTCCCTCAGTCAAAGGAGAACCCCTTTAATTTTTTTTTTAATTGAAAATCATTCCCCCGTATCTCTGCGCATGGCCAGGTGCCTTGAATTGTAACAGTAATATTGTCCAAAGTCGTGACTCTTATCAAGATGTGCAGTTTGACAAGTTACCCGAAGCAGTGTCGCTGGGAACCTTCATCTGGAGTTTTAATACAAAGTGACAGTTCATAACTTTACGAAATAAAAATGTTCAATCATCGAATACAGACTCAAGCCTGTACTGAAGCAATATATACGAAGAATCGTCTCATTGCATGTGGAAACCGTGTGCCTTTGACGACGTTATATTACCGTGGACAATTACTTTCATAAAATGGTTAATTGATCATATAGCTTCCGGTATTATAAGTTGGCATTCGGCTAATTATTTTTTCTGGACCATGTTAAAGACTAGCGATGGACTTGTGACATGGGAGAATGTTCCAGTAAATAACTCCAGTAAAAATGGTATTTGACTTTTCTGTGTTGGTTACGTGTGGGTTAATGTACGCACAATTCAGGTTTAACTTCATTCATCAAGTTTAATCTTGACAACGCGTAATTTTTCGTTTAATTTTCAATAGCATCCAAAACTAAAACTTTCAGAAAAGAACAAACGTTAACATTTTGGTCGTTTTGTGTTCTGAGTATTTATTTGCTTTTGTCGAAGGGTTTGCAAAAGTAAGCTGGACCTAAGTCATTGTGTCATGTGGTTAGTCACGCGCGCCGGGTTTCTGAACTGTCAACAGAGTGGGACGAACTTTGACCTCCTCGTGACTCAAATATGCCGCACTCTAAAGATTTTGTCCGAGTTTTAAATTATTCTACAATTGGTTTTGGCTACTCGCTGAACCAAACTGGCCAAGAGTAGGTGAATTCCAATGGAGAGGGAGGCAGACCGAGGTGAGTTGGGCAAATTATGGTTAAAGTATCGATTCATTAAGGATCTCCAATTAATGTGGCTTTCCTAAGATTTAATGAGGGGAAGTAAACATAACGAAGAACGTTGGATACTCCAAAGTTCAATATCCTTTTAGTTTTATTTATTAGAGTTCTATTAATCATCATTTATTATTCATTTATACGATTTAAGGGGCCTGGAATTATTTTGAAAGCCTGTAATGTTCGGGGACAAATTCCTCCAAATTTGGCTTCTTGTCTCACAGTTTGATGTTTTATATAGCCCACAAATATCGCCTCCTATATCTAGTCAGAATCTGCTAAGTTTGCAAACATTGGGCGAAGAAGGGAGGGGGCAAACCTAACACCGGCAACTTAAGACGAAGCCGAGAGTTCGCGAAACTCAGGCCCTGTGGTAAGACGCGGCTTTCTCCTGGTGGTGGTCGCCATATTGAAAGTTTATCCCCCTTGGTATTGAATGTTTTGACCTGACACGTTTTATAGCATTGTGCTATATGGAAATATAAATAGGGTCATTTTCCAAACTGGGGGATACATATCGATGACAATTTACACATGCATCGTCATCTTGACGTCTCGGTTTGTTTGAAATTGGCGTTAGCTCTGAAGTTAAGGTTTATAGCCTTTCCTTCAGTACAAGTACATTGATGCATTCCCTTGTCAAACGCTTCGCTAGGCTTACACAAGTGATGTACATGTAGTTTTGAAACTGCATGTATGCCTCTTTAAAATTATACCTTTCTTGGAAGATGAATATCCGATATCATTGCCCAGAGGCACATATTCTGTAACTAAGGACTAAACTTGCGCACAATCTGAAAAGGAACTTTTGCCAACTAAAGGCAAGTAAATATGCAAGTAAATATATCTTGTAGATACTGTTGCAAACTGATCGAACACTGTGTACATGATAGGCCCCTTTGTATGTACATGTACGTGATAGGCTCCTTTGTGTGTTTTGTGTAATTGCGGTTGGTTTATCAAAGGTTAAAACGCTCTATCCTTGACCCACAATCGGTACTTGGACGGGAAAATCTGATAGAGTTGCATAACAGAAGTAGTGGCATCACTGTCCCTGCAAGCTCGTGGCATTACCGTGACCTACGCTCACTGTCTGTAACTCTCCGATCATAACAGTGACCGACATACATGTACTGTACATGAAAGCCCCATCGCTACTCACTGTATACTTCTGTCTCGGTATGTTGCACGTAGTGCACCATGACCTGACCTTCCGGCGCCCTTCAAAAGTTCCCCTTGTCAGAAAAAAATGCAGCCCGTTTTATTTGTCACCTAATGAGCCATCTGTGATTTGCAGAATGGCACTGTAGCGAATGGCCAATACCGAGGACACCCAGTTATTGTCGGCCGACCGGCCTGGTTCATATCTGAACGGTAGGTTAAAGCCGTGAGTACATGTACTACAATCTGGTGTAAGGCTCCGCATGCATTTTCTGAGTGGAAGTTCCTGGTATTCCCTGGAATAAAGTGTTCAGCTGTTTCTGTGTGTCGTTGTGTGGGGTAGCTTCAGGGGGCTTCTGTGGACAACTTCCATCGTCTTACGCCATCTTTGTCCGTCTGTTTACTCTTGTCTGGCGGTTCCTGCACGTGCAAGTGTTCATCTGTCTTTTTGTGTTAACAACATACAGGCTGAGGCTACACCGTGACTTTCTCAACACTTCGTTACTTCCACACATTTCTCATAATTCTGACTCAATGAGCTTTGTTGGCACGTGACGCAAAGCGGGGAAACACTAGGCCTACGCTTAAAGTCCCCCCACCCGTAACGGAGCGAGCTGTCGATGTCTTTTGTCCTGTGGTGTGCAGCCCCAGCGTACCACACTTTTTTAATATCAAGCTTTCAATAAAGTCACAAGTAAGATTTGAAACTTTACATGATGGAAGTACATGTACGTGTAGTATAGAGAACCCACCTCTTCTTGAAGAGATAGATGAACCCCACCTCTTCTTGAAGAGATAGATGAACCCCAGCTCTTCTTAAAAGAGATAGATGAACCCCACCTCTTCTTGAAGAGATAGATGAACCCCACCTCTTCTTGAAGAGATAGATCAACCCCACCTCTTCTTGAAGAGAAAGATGAACCCCACCTCTTCTTGAAGAGAT